ATAATGGATTTAATAAGGTTATTAAGCCCATTAGTGTTTAGTACTTACATGTCTTTTTTTTAAAACATGAAATTAGGTTAGCAAATCTTAGCTGCAAATCCTTTCTCTTCAATTTTCTGTTTTTAATGCCCCAGGTGACATGGTTTGGAGTTATACACTGCTTTTCAAAATTGTTCTCTCGTATAATGTCTATTGGGTGGGAGAGGACAGATAACCTTTAAAACTGGGATTCTAGGACACTTCTCACCAAAGACGTGTGTTTAAATGTCCTTGAAGAGCATGACTGTGCCACTTATAACAATGGCTTCATTTATTCCTTTCTGAGCATTTGCTATGTCTCCTGTCCAATATAGCAAATTTAAGCCAGATGCACAGGGAGCAACATTTACTCTAGAAAATTCCATCTAGTTTATGCCCATTTATGTTGACCTGCTCTCACTCTTATCTCTCCAGCTCAATATGGTAATGTTGATAATTGTTTTTGGTTCTTTTGGCTTTCATGACCTTTTGTGGATAACTTCAGCTTCTTACTTATCTTTTTTTTAAAGCTCTAACTGATGTCCTGTTTTTCCTCCCAGCCCCCCAGCTTTGAAGAAGCTCTCTATCTTTTAGCTCCAGCCTGCAGAACTCCACTGACTGGACCGACTCTTGGCCCCACTTTCAGAAGAAGGGAATTTGACAACCATAAAGGCTCAGGTTAGATGTGGTTGGGTTCACGTGGTTATTTTTGTTAAGGATTTGGAGTCACCTGTTTCCTTCTCAGGGGTTTTCTTGGAGGAAACAGTACACACAAAGGACAATACTGGAGTACCATTTTAATTAATGGCTGGTCAGGCACCCATATCACACAATGCAGGGCTTACTATGCATGAGCTCGACCTTCATTGCACTATAACCCTGGCCCTGGTGAAATGTGGTTCCTACAACATTTCAGGCTCTGACCCATAAAATTAGCCGTGTCTTGTCTCAAAGTACAGTTAGTTAAGAGATGGAGAAAAGCATGTTTGGTGGGGAGAAGCAGGAGCCTCTCTCCCCAACAGTTTCCTTCAGTGCTTCTAAATCAAGCAACATCACAAAGCAGGATGTGGACTTTAAACATCATGTCACCCTATAACCACTAAACTTGAACATTAGAGAGCACTTCAGAGATCACCTGGTGCCACTCAACTTCATCATATACATGAGGTCCTGGGATGCTAAATGTCCCACCGAGCCTCACAGACAAACAGAACACTTGTACCTGCAAACACAGTCTTCCTCCTACTCCACCACACTGACTCACGGGGCTCTGGAATTTTAGATATTGGTTTTAAACAAGAAGTCATTCCTTCCTGAAGTTTTGTATTGTTTCCCATCCTTCTACATGTGTTACTGGGTCTTGGCTTCTTTAACTGAAACAGGATTTTCCTGTTCCATTGATTGCTGTTGAAGGTGATCTAAACATGAAGTACTATTTTTAATCTTTTAAAAATACTTTTTTCTTTCCACTTACAGTTATAGTTTTCCCTATTGCCAGGCTCCCAGCTCCTAAGCTACCAACCCCACAGACGTTTTTCCTTTTTGCCTTGGACCTACTCAATTGCTTTCTGAGTTTTAAGGGATATTGCTTTTTGAATTTTCTGAAGCCCGAAAGTCAAGAGAACAGATTTTGTTAATGTCAACTCAAATGAAGGACATAAAGATTTGTAAATCTAAGTGGTTCTGTTTGTCTTGTAATGCATGCACATAATTTCAGTTAGAGTTACATTCATCTCATAAAGGAGCGACTAAATTTTGAGGGAGTGAAGTGTATAATGGAAGAAAGAGAGGAAAGCAACCATCTTCTCTCCTGAACCGCATCTTTTTGCTTTCAAAGGTACATTTTCTGAAGAACATTGTTAATATCCAAAGTATGAGGCTGATCACAGATAATAGGAAACACATTCTAGAGATTCAGTTGAATAGAGAAATCCATAAATTCTGTCCCATGTTGATAAGCATTTGGACTCAAAGGGACACTTGTTCAAAATGCTGGTGGAAGGTGCCCACATCGCTCACAAATGCTGCTTCTAGGTCAATATTCTTTTCTTTCTTCTGATTCCACCAGAAGAGGACCTCCATCGTATGCTAATCTCTCATTAATATTTTTTTCACACTTTATAACTCTTTATTCTTTTAAGGAAGAGATTGGCCTAGCCTCGATTATCTGCAGGTATAGTTTATGTGAGAACATGAGATAGTTTAACAGGAGCTACTGCTGTGAGGAACATACTGAATTGTGACACACAGGGAGTGTCATGCTGCTATGTTCCTGCTTAATGGGTGAATCCATTGCAACTCAGATTCCAGACAGGGAATTTCCCTTTCTCTCAAAAGGAGTTGAATATATTCCTCCCATTCCAGCTGAGTGGCAGAGAACACAGGCACAGTACACAGAAACAGGTGGCAAAAAGAGCACTCCAAGAGACACAACTAGATGCAAAGAGAGAGAAGCCCCTGCAGGGCAGGTGCATGGCCAGCTGTGGTGTGCACCTCCTTAGACAGAAACCATAGATTCCTATGTCAGAATCTCTCTGCATAGCCCTCTAAGAGTTATTAACCACGTGAGACGACTTGCAACTTTTCCTTTTCCTTTCACCGCACTGCCTTTCTTCTAAGGCAGATCTGTCTGCCTGCTGGGCTCTGATAGGAAGATGGGTGGAAACTGCTATAGGATGGGAGGGCTAGTGGGATTTCACATCGACAAGAGAGAGAGTAACCCCCTGGTCTGAGGACAGAACAGATGCAGAAAGGAAGAGGAACACTGGCTTCTCCTGTCACCTCCCAACAAAAATAAACTAAAAACAAATGAACAGAGTCTGCCTGGGAGTAGGAGCCAAGTTTGGGTGGAGTTTTCGGCAAACTCCAGTTTTAGCTTTAGGAGATGTGAGACAACTATTGGTGAGTGTGAGCTATAAGTGGAAAGAGACGAGGAAACCAGTTTTCACCAGTTTATCTGGGCCTGGTGGATGGGCTCCTCTCTCATTCTTTGTGTGACTCCAGTGACGATTTAAACTATTTGGCCATTCATTTTAAACATCAGACTGGTGTTTTCTCCATGGCAACTTCGTGAGGCTTTAGGTCAAAAGGTAGCCGAGTTTTATAGGGTTCATATGTAAGCTAAGCTTCCATTAAAAAGTACAATAGACTGTATCCATTTCTGATTCATAACTAATTCTTTTTGTTATTGTCATAAAAGCCTGGATTTAGAGAAATTTCCAGGTATTTTTATATGCAGATAGCTGGACTGGGTGGAGAACACTTAAATATTATTTTCTCAATTCCAATGTTGACAGTGGGAAGATAAACAAGACTCTCCCTTCTGGAAGGCTGCTTTAGCCAGGCTATCTCTGGACGTGGTCCAGGTGACAAAGACAATAGCAACTGTAGCTGAGGAAAGAGGGGCTGAGGAGGGGGCTCAAGAGGCCCCCGACCGCTGGAAGTTTAGGGACTGTAGGAAAGAATAACAGGCACATGATTGACATCTGAAACAATATATGCCACATTTCCACATGGGGAGGGCTTCTTTGGTTCTTAATCATTTCCCCATCCCATAGTTATGCTCGCAAACAAAGGGACAATGGCTAAAGGGAGCCATGTTACTGCAGGTAGAATAAAAACAGCAGGTAAAGATTGGGAGTCCTGGGCCAGGAGGGCCCTTGCTCACCAAATTACTCTCTGGTACATTATGACACAAGGTTCCATGTTGACCGATCCCACCACTTTTTATTAATGTGTGGCTTTGGTCAAGTTTCTTAACCATCTACTTAATCCTTAGATTTCTCAACTGCGAAATGCAGAAGATAATATCACCTACCTCACAAAGAGATGAAATGAGAAATCGGTATATATAACACTTGGTACAGTGCTTGGCATTAAGTAAATGCCTCATGAAGGTGACCTCTCACTATCTCTATTATTGATACTGTTAGTATTATTACACTGACAGGATTAGCCTAATATTTTTTACACGATTAAACTTGAAAATCTACACCTAAACTTGAAAACGCATCTCCTTATAGTCACAAATGATTCCTGCATAAACATGAGTACGATTTCCTGAAAGTTGGTTATTTTTCCAAGCTTCTTCTCTACCTCTTTAATCATCCCAATCTCCTAAATCTTTAGAGTTTGGGCCTCTTGCCTAACACTCCAAAAGGAGCTGGCTGTTGATCATTTCCATGAATTCTTCCTCCAATGAACCCTGTAGCTCTGGATTGAGAGTTGTGTTTTGGCACATCTATCTTATATTACCATTATTTGTACATTTGTCTCATCTGCCCTACTTGGTTGTAACTGACTGCAGAGATGGGACAAGCCTTATTTAAATCTATAGCATCTATAGCATCTTTGCTTGATTAGGTAGTAAGTATTCAATAAGTACTTTTTAAATGAAGGAGTAAAGATGATAATCAAATAAATTATTCATGGTATGCAATGTCCTCCATCAAATTAAAAATATGAGGTGCTAAAACTAGAAATGGCTGTTCCCAGGCCCTGAGTCAACAACCGATCACACACAGCAAATTGGGTTTGTGTGTCACTCAGACTCGCCATGCGTTGTCTCTGCCTTCAAATCCTGGGCATTAAAACCAGAATGATTGCAGGACCTTGAGACTGCCTATTAATTTTAGCTATTACCTTTATAAATATTACTTTCTGAGAGTAAATAATTACTAAACTTCTTTGTCACTTGAATCAGAAAAATTCAGCGATGTGTTTGAGTATTTTCTATCAGATGTCAACTCTAGAGGTCCTGCAGCAAGAATACTCCCTCCTTGCCAGCACTGATAAAATACAGTTTGCATTACATCCTGCTGCGTGATAGACTCTATATCAGTAGTGAGTTTGTTGCATGTCATTCATGTTCTATAAGCAATTCCTAATAATTCTCATTTCAACATCTTGGGAGCAAGCCCCATCTCCTGTTCTTTCCTTACACAGATATATTGAAACGTTTGAGGATGTGCAAACATACATACCCATTAGTGGAGTTCAGAAATCCAGTAACGCCAGAGAGTTGGGGCCAGTCGAGCTCATCAGTAATAGCTGTTGGTAAATTCAAGAAGGATTTCTAAAGAAAAAATAAAGTGGTAATTATCAAAATGGTCATTTGTTTTCTACAGGTAATAAGATTATCCATTGCTTAGGTATTGTTCTCTATCTGTCTGTCTGTCTCTCTCATCCTCTCTCTTAATCTCTTTCTTAAAAGGCTTTTGGCATTTAAAGCATATGCCTCTTAACTTTCACCATCGTCAGAAAATTCGCAAAGATCAGCATCACTCGTGAACTGGCTTCCATTCAGCTTTTGTGAAAGAGGCAGAATGCATGGCAGCTCATAGTCATCCTTCATTGAAAGGGATGCTTCAGTAGACTGGTAAACTTTCCACTCTTTTAAATTTGCTGAGATTTTCTCCATATTTTAGTTTAGGTGTTCATGAAATCAATTGCTTTAAAAGTAATAATGGCCAAGCCTTCAGCAAAAATGTCTTGCCTGAATTCAAAGCCTTGCCCTTAGTCAATAAGGTGGCGCCTCCTGACCTCCTTAGGGGTCTCAGACACCTTTGAAAATCTAATTATGGTTTGTCCCCTCACAATAACGCACATATACTCAAAAATGGCCTATGATTTCAAGGGGTTCACAGACCCCCTGCAACTCTTGCACAGACTCTAGTTCAAGAGCTGCTGACATGAAGTGTTGACAAAATTAGGATTCATCTGAACCACATTACTATGGCTTGTGCAAAATCACGAAAGAAAAATGTTGCCACCTATGTCCCCTTATTGTTCCTTTTATAAATGACCTCTGGGATAAACCCCTCCTCTGGTCTAATTTCTAGATAAAGCTTATCTAGACTAATGTGTTTGGAAAATGGCTGCCATATTTAGCAAATAAAAATACAGGATACGCAGATAAATTTGAGTTTTAATAAACAAAACGTGGTATATACGTACAATGGAATATTATTCAGCCTTAAAAAGGAAGGAAATTATGATACATGATACAACATGGATAAAGGACATGATGATAAGTGAAATAAGCCAGTCACAATAAAGATAAATACTGTATGATTTCACTTATATGAGTAGAGTTGACAAACTCATAGAAACAGGAAGTATAAAAGTGGTTCCCAGGGGCTGGGGGGAGAGAGGAATGGGGAATCGCTGTTTAGTGGGTATAGGGATTCAGTTTTGCAAGATGAAAAAGTTCTGGAGATTGCTTGAACAACAATGTGAATATACTTAACACTACTGAACTATACATTTAAAAATGGGCAAGGTGGTAAATTTTCTGTTATGTGTATTTTACCACAATTAAAAAAATAAATATGATGGGGCCGGCCCCGTGGCTTAGCGGTTAAGTGCGCACGCTCTGCTACTGGCGGCCCTGGTTCGGATCCCTGGAGCACACCGACACACCGCTTCTCCAGCCATGCTGAGGCGGCATCTCACATACAGCAACTAGAAGGATGTGCAACTATGACATACAACTATCTACTGGGGCTTTGGGGGAAAAAAAGGAGGAGGATTGGCAATAGACGTTAGCTCAGGGCTGATCTTCCTCACACACAAAAAAAAAGAAAATGAATTTCAGGTACACAAGGAATAATTTTTAGTTATTGTGTACATTGTGTGGGACATACTTACACTAAAAAAATTACTCATTGTTTATCTGAAATTCTAATTTAACTGGGTATCCTGTATTTTACCTGAGAATCCTTGTTTGGATAAAAACTCTGAAAGCCAATGTTCCCTTTTTGCCTTGGCTGACAGGAAACCTCAATGCTTGGCTGCAGGGGGCAGTTTCTCTCAGGTGTGTAGTGTGATCTCTTCCATGTGTCCCTGTGTTTCTCAACATTGACAACCCACGCCCCCTTTGGATGAACATGAAAACCTTGAGTTCTCCTTTAATGTTATCTTAAAAAAATAAATTAAAGGTAAAAAATGTCTAAAGATAAATCACATCAAAGCAATTGTAGCATTGAGTATGATTTTACAAATGGCATACGGCCCTGCCCCCTGCTCGCTTTGTCACCCACGATGATCCTCGCCCTGTCTCCTAAAGAGAATCTGACTCCAGAGGCTGTGAAGGAAGGAAAAGCCACACTTTTCTCTCACTAACCACTTGAAAATATATCTTTTTGTTTCCTTTCTGACTACAAAGCCATACATGTTTGTTACAAAAATTCAAACATTATATTGATTTACATGTTGAAATGAAAGTCCCCCATCACCTCCCCTCAAGAGATAACTGCTGTTAGATAAGCACTGTTAACACTGTGTGTCATATGTTTATAATGGAATCTGCCATGATTCTCTAAGCTTGGAAAAATTCAAAACTCAAGTAATCTTCCTACTATCAGAGTGATAGAGAATGAGTACTCAAAATAAATAAAATAAAATTTATATTTCTCAACTGTGGACTATTACTGGTTGAATTGTGTACCCAAAAAGCTATGTTGAAGGCCTAACTCTCAGCACCTCAGAATGTGACCTTATCTGTAGTAGGGTCATGGCAGGTGTAATTAGTTAAGATGAGGTCATACTGGAGTAGCGTGGGTCCCTAAGCCAATATGATTGGGGTCCTTATAAGAAGAGGAAGGAGAGAAGCAGAAACACAGACACAGGGGGAAGGTCACGTGATAATAGAGGCAGAGATTGGAGAGATGCTTCTACAAACCAAGGAACACCAAGGATTTCCAGTGGTCACCAGAAGCTAGAAGAAACGCATGGAACAGATTATCTCTCAGATCCCTCAAGAGGAACCATTCTGCCGACATCTTGATCTTGGACTTTTATCTTCCAGAACTGTGAGACAACCAATTTCTGTTGTTTTAAGCCACCCAGTTTGTGGTACGTTGTTATGGCAGCCCTAGGAATCTATGACAAGGCCTGAATTGGACAATTTGCTTGTAGTTCTTTTTATTCAGGAGGCCAAGATATGAACACTTCTGCTATGTTGATGTACTTCTCAAAACAAGTCATATCGCAAACAAATATGTTCACACATAGCAGTTATCCTGTGGTGCCTTGCACTATTTTCCACGGCTCTGCGAGCTTCCTCCACTCCCCCTTTCTCAATCACCTCCTCCTCCACATGCAAATCCCAAGGTCCTTATCCTTATTCTTATCCCAAGTGTGATTTCCAGCACAGTGAGGGCTGGAAGTGGGAGGAGGGTGGTCAGGAAGGATGGCTTCTTGGAGACGGCTGTATTAATTACGATTTATAATTAATACAAAGGAGTAGAAACAAACTCATGGAGAGGAGGCTCCCAATAGGTCTCAGAGGACCATTCAGTTCCAGTGACTGGTACTTGTCACCCCTTAGCAGGAGGCACCCGCTCATTTCTGCTCAAAACTCTGCCATTACTGTGACTCAGCTACTCTCTATTTTGATTTCTATTTCTCCTGCCACTATAAATCAAATGTTTTCTCTGTTTTTTATCTTATTTTTTTCACTAGGTCTTTCTGCTTATGTGTGTTTGCTGTAGGATTTGAAAATATTCAATTCTGCTAGAGAAGACAAGAAAAACAAATAGAATGGATGAAACTTATAAGATATGTTAAGCCAAGATAGTGAGTAAGCAAGTGGCTTGTGAGATCTAGGCAGAATTTATGAGCTGTATTAAGTAAGTCAGCAACCTGTAAAACATGTTAAAAATTAAGAGCGATACAACACTCCCCCACACCAATCTCTCACCTTTTTCTCAGTCATCCGCACAATGATGACCCCAGATTTGGGAAACTGGGTATGGGACTAGGTTTTTGATTCTGATGGGCCTGCTCTCCCTTTCACAGGAAGGAGTTAGACAAGAATTCTGCTGGCATAGGAAGTGTGTCTGATGCTTGCTGCAGCCTGGAATAATAACGGAGGGGATGCTTGTTCTGAAGTGTGCCAGCAAAGTAGGGAAAAGGCTTTGCTCTAGGAATCAGGAGACCTGACTTCTGCTTGTGGCTCTACAAACACAGTACAACTCCATGGTTTGGATATGACACATTAGATACTCCATCCAGCCCCCATTCTCAATCAGGGGAGGGTGATAAAATTCTTATCTCCTGGATGGGGGAAAAGGAGATATTGAGGGGGGGATAGGACAGTTGAGAAAATGGCCAGCAACTCTGTGTTGGGAAGTGGGGTCTCCATGTCCCCAGCGTCCTCCCAGCTCAGTCTCTCTGGATCAACCTAAAGAAATGGGTGTCAACTATCTGGGAGAATCCTGGACTCCTTGCTGCTCTCCAAGAAGCCCCAACCGGCCCTGGAATCATCCTTATTAGGATTTAAGCTGGTGCTGAATCACAGCTGGACCAGGGTGGGTCTGTATCCCACAGCTGGAGCCCTGGAAGGGCCAGGAAGGTCAGCTGCATAGGTTTACCCTGGTTATTTGATTAACCTTGAAATAACGCGTATCTGTGTTTCCTGGTTAAATGTTTTAGACTCCATTTATGGTGTTGTGGCGAGGTTTTACTACTCCTGGCTGTGCAAAATCAGGGAAGATGTAGCTTTACCAGTGTCTCAATTTCAGTATCTCTGATGGCTGTAGAATATTCCCCTATCTACTTCTACAAAACTATTGGGAGGATCAAAAGACAGAAAGAGAAGCAGGTTGACACGTAGAAGCCCCACACTATGTAATGTAATCTTGTTTAGGACAGATCAGCTAGTGTCCCTTTCTAAGTAGATTGTCCCAGGTTTAAGAGGAGTGAAGTTTATTGCCAGATCAGAGAAAAGATTTGAGCAGATAACTGGAAGCCTTGACATATTTTTTCTTCCTTAGTAAATTTGGTAGATAAAAATGAGAAGTACCAGCCATTAATAGCAAATGTTTTATAGACCCGAGCAAAAAGAGAATGTTTAAGTCATATCACATTAAACACTAAAAGCCTTATTCATGCAACATTATACCCAAGATATTTCAGGCATTTAAGGCAGGAAAAATGCAAATTAAGATCTCCCTCATCAACTCCTGCTTATTCCTCTTGAGCATTTATATTCTCAGGAAACTTATCTTAAATGTACCTTAAATGTACATATGTGGAAAGACTTAATATTCACCAAGAAAAATTTTCCAAATT